GATTGATTAATTGATTGATTGATTAATTGATTGATCTTTGAGGGCGTTAGCTGGGGTCGGGGTTAGGGATTGGGGGCTGGTATGCTGGGTGGCTAGGTGGCTACTTCACGCAAGTGCTTAGGTCTATATCAAAGGGCGGCATTTTTGCGTTTTTTGGTGGGTGGTTGGATTGGGGGTTGGGTGGTGTAGGGGGTAGGAGGAGGGAGGAGGGGGGGAGGTAGCTAGCTAGGTATATATATAGGTAGTTATATGCGTATACATATACATGCATATGCATATATCTGCGTTGTGGTAGGTACGGTGCGGTACATGGATGAGACGAGCAGAAGCGGGAGTGGAAGTTGGAGCGGAAGTTAGAGTGGGAGTAGTAGCGGGAGCGGGAGTAGGAGTAGTAGCGGCAGCAGAAGCGGAAATCAAAAAGAAACAGAAAACACGAGAGGCTCGGGACGGCGTCGTGCGCAAATACATACACAACCCATCTACATAAAACCTAGGTATTATTTACGCGCTCCTCCTTCTCCTCTTTGTCTTCTCCCCCCTTCTCCTTCTCCATAACTTCCTCACCCCTTCCCTTCCAGCCTTGACTTTCCTCGCCACTATCGAATAATCACGCTCCTCGCGCACCGAGAGTAACGTATTTATTAAGGCATAGCATCTCGCTTCCTACCTACCCACCCATCAAAGCTGCTGCCACTGCCCCTTCCGTGCGTAAGCGCTGCCTGCCTGCGCGGCGCGGTAGGCTGTGCTAGTGGCGTTCGGAGGCATGCGCCGAGGTGTACGTGGTGCTAGATAGATAGGGTAGTATAGTGGGACATAACCTCCCAATCCAATCCAATCCAATCCAGTCGAATACAACCTTCTACACTTTAGCTATATAGTCGATGTACTAAAATATCGATAGCCTATCCTATCTAAACACCCAGCTAGATAATCTCGTATATGTAAAAAGGCCACGCCTACCTAAGGCTAGTATGGTCTATAGTGTAGTATAGTATAGTATACTACTATAAATGGAAATACACGTAGAAATAGAAATGAAACGGGAAAAACGGTAGAAGTTGTGTTTTAACGTTAGCGGCCTGCATGCTTGACTGTATAGATAGATTGATGGAATAAAGGGATTTAAGAAAGGGTTTATATATACGCCGTTTTAAGAGGCTTATAGTATAGGGACTAGGTAAGGGATTAAGAGAGTGAGCGAGAGTTCTTACGGCAGCTAGACTGTAGGTATCTACAACTCGGTAGGTAGGTATTCCATCCATGTAGTCTGGCAGCAGCAGCAGCGCGCGCCACTGGTTGCCTACTCAGTCGGTTTACTTTACTGCGAGAACGATTGCGTGAGAGAGAGAGAGAAAGAGAGAGTTGTACGTAAGTATGTGCCAAGGACGAGGAAGACGGTTGGAGCAGAAGACTATACGCACGCACCTCCCACACCAACCCACACACACAGACCCACCCACCCATCCATTCACAACACACGAACAAACACACCAACATCTCCAGCAAAGAAAACACGCATGCCATTATAACCACGTCCACAGGTCCTGATATCGTACAAACCACGCACCCACGCAACCACTACCCCACGCACCCCCAGACTCCCACCCACTGTACAAAACAAAAAAACGACAAACCAAACGCGCTCTTCCTACCTCCATGCATCCCACCCACTACTACCACCACTATTCCTACTTCGCCATAACATCGACGTACCGTCCCCCCCTCTTCCCCTTCTTCGCCGCCCCCTTCCTCGGCGCCGGCACCCCCAACAAATCATCAATACTGCTGGCATTACTCATGCTCGTGGCCGGACGACTCGGCGGCCCCGACGGCGGCGGCGGTCCCCCCAGCGCAGGCGAGTCTCCTGCCGCACCGGGCGGCGCGCCCGCCGGCGTCGCCGACCGCGTCCCCGGCGCCGACGCCGCCATCGCCATCGGCGGCGGCATGCTGGTGCTGCGCATCTGGGCGTTGAGCGCGCCGGGCGGCACGAGGCCCTTTGGCGGGCCGCCGGCCGCGGCGCCCGCCAGGTTGCTGGTCGACGCGACGCCGCGGAGGCCGGGGGGCGGGCCGCCCTTGGGCGGGGGTGGCGTCGCTGACGGCGTCGAAGTTTGCTCGGCGCCGGCTTTCTTGTTGACCCATTTCTTGAGGTCGGGGTCGTAGTAGAAGGAGTTTTCCTCGCCGAGCTTGGCCCGGATGGGCTTGGGCGAGTCTGTGTCGGCGGATTTCTTGAACCAGCCGCCCAGCCAGCTGCCGCCGCCCTTCTTGGGTGGGTTCTTTTCCTTGGCGGCTGAGGTTGAGGTTAGCATTTGCCCATACATACATTAAGTCCCCGTCGACAGGCAACTTACCATCCGCTTCTGCGGCCTTGCGGAACGCCTCATCAGCGATGCGGTCCGCTTCAGCCTTCTGCTGCGCCTTCAGCGTGGCGGCGCGACGCTCCAATTCATCATCATCATCGTCATCCATCATCGATTTCTTTGGCTTCGTTTCGGCCTCCTTCTCTTCTTCGGGTTCGGGTTCATAAGGCTGGTACGAGGGCGGCTCATAGGAACTTGTTGGTGGTTCGTAAGAGCTCGTAGGCGGTTCGTAAGAGCTCGCTGGGGGGTCGTAAGGACTCGTTTGAGGTTCGTAAGGGCTCTTTTGGGGCCCGTTCGAGCCGAGAGGCGGTCCAAAATTGTTCGTCTGGGGTGCGTTATCCCCGGCCGCTTCATTATGCATGGTGGCGGCAAGAGGTTGGTAGCTGCCCATGGCCGTTGTCGGGCTGTAAGGGCTTCCCAACGGGTTCATCGAGTTGGGAGGGGAAGTTGTAGAGCTCAACCCGCTAGGCGCATAAACGCTGGCAGGTTTGGGCGCGTACTGAGAAGACGGGTTGTACGACGATGGTGGCGTCTCTTGATGGGCAAACATCGGATCCGTGACCATATCAGGACGTTCCATCGTCTCCATCGAAGACCTGCTCGGCGCATACGGCGATGAGTTTTGCGGAGCATAACGACTGGCCTTCTCCATCGAGGAACGGGGAGCATAAGCACTTGGCGCAGCGGGAGCATATCTTGAGCCGGCAACAGCTGAAGAGTTGATGCCGCTCATGGCCGCGCCGAAAGACCCGGACAGGTCTGCAACGGATGGCGAGCGGCTGACTGTAGGCGTTTCACCTGACATCTTAGCGAAGGGGCTGCGTTGGTCAGCCGCAGCGCCTCCAGTCGAAGCGCCATCGCTATCGTCTTCTCCAGCGACAAACTTGTTGAAGCTCGACCAGACACTGCTAGACACCTTACCCATGGTGGGCTTTGATATCCAAGAAGACGAACCATCCTTGGGCGATTGTGACAGTCGCTTAATGAGATCATCCAGCTCCGACACCAAAGTCGAGTGATAGTAGGGCGACACCTTGGTCGTGGACTTCATGGCAGCAGCGATAGAATCGCAGTAAGCCTGTGCCTCTGTCCTGTAGCCATACTCGGCCAAAGTGAAAGCGCGCGCGAGCTTGTACGCTTGCAGATGCGGGATGGCCGGAGGAGCCATGCTAGATGACAACGTAACGGCATACTCAAAGATCTCGGTGAGGAGAATAGGCTCCATTTCCTTGCCCACATCGAAGCGATCAGCGCCTATCAGAACCAGGTGGGCCGCGGGATCTTCAGCACCACCTAGGATCACCGCTGTCCTGGCGAATAGGAAGCAGATGTGCGCAGCTTCGACTCTGCCGTAGCCCGCCAAGAGCTTGCCCAGTGCCACAAGAGCCTGGTTATCACCCTCGCTTCTGTTGCTAGTCACAAGAAGAAGGGTCTCGCGCCAACGATCAAGCCCTTCGAGCACGTTCGTATTGGCACCGGACCTGTCAGTCTTGCTGACCATCTGGAATCCGGCTCTTGCAGAGGCGGGAACGAGTTCATCAATGCTGTCTTCCCAGTTTCCGGCAAAGACCTCGTACAGTGCAGCGAGAGACTGGTTGTTGCCGGACACTTTCCTGACGTCTTGACGCACAAACTCTTGGACAACTTGCTTCCACAAATCTTTGCTCAAGGTGGAAGCAATGAGCATTGCGTGACCCCATAGACGCTTATCAACAGCATCCCAGACGGCCTTTTCCCTATCACCTTTTAGTAGGTGGGCACGAAGTTGGTCAACGGCCTGGGGGTCAATCGGCTCGGCTGTTACAGCGGATCCAGTCGACGTAGTCTGACCCATGAGGTCGGCCGAGGTAAGCACTGGACCACCCTCGCTGCTTTCTGAGCCTTCGGGTGCCAGAACCTTTTTAACAGCCTGGTTGACTGCGTCAGAGCCTTCGAGATGGCCGTCATGCTCAACAAAGATCTCCAGTATCTTCCAAAGCAAGATCTTCTCTTCAAACCTTGTCCTTGCCTCCGCGAGCAGTTCCCCGTTGAAAATTTTCTCGCGGTAGTCTTTATCCATCGACTCTATGTTAGACTTGAGCCAGCCGAGAACATCTTTCTTCTTGCCCTTGGTCTTGAGCGGACCGGGGAATTTTGCGACCGAGTCTGATAGAGGGCATAGCGTCTTGGCACTTTGAAGCTTGACCTCACCTGGAGTACACTTGATCATAGCACCAACAGCGCCAGTGCCATATCGAGGGATGTGCTTGGGGAATGTGGTCAGGACGGAACCGCCAAGCCCCCACTTGAAAATCGGTGAACCCTTCCATCGCTCGAGAGGATCCATTGCGAGTTCGTCAGTAGGCTTGATGTAATTAAGGTTCACAGAAAACGTGCGTTTACGGCCTGCAGAGGCAGGCACACTGGGGGTATATTGCGCTTGGGGTCCTCCCACAGGAGAGGCTAAACCAGTGACGGAAGCAGGCCGTTCAATGGGCGCCATCGCCAACTTAGGTCCTTTCATGGTGGCTCCGGGAGACTGTGACTGCGAGCGGCGCACCGGCGGCATCTCAGAATCTTGGCCAGGCGAAGAGACAAAGTTACGGTGGTACTGCGGCGGATTGGACTGAGGAGTGTAACTGGACTGCGGTGCGTAGGCGGACTGCGGAGTGTAGTTGGCAGTGGAACGTCTCTTCGGCGATCCTACAACAGAAGCAGGCACACTCCTCGGCGGTGGTGGCGGTGTCGCAGGTTTTTGCGCGGTATGCAGGAGAGTCTCCTGCACCGGCTCGAGACTTGCCCTCCGATAGCTGTCTTCTACAGAAGCTATGCTCTGTTGCAACGATGTCGAAGAAGACGGCCTTGGTGGTGGCACGTGCTCTTGGTGGTGTGGTGTGCTGTGGAATGCCAGAGGGCTCGAAGTCCTTGGAGCGAAAGGCATGGTCGCGGGCTTAGGAAGAGGCACGGTTGGTTCGGCAGAGTATCGATTCTGCGGGTTAAGAGGAGCAGACGGAGGAGCGGGAGAATACTTCGATCCTGTGCTTGGCGCGGAAGGAGGAGCAGGCGAATAACGCGAAGCGACAGCGGGGGCCGCGGGCGGAGCAGGAGAATACCTGGCTGCTGTGGCAGGCACTGCTGGAGGTACTGGTGCAAGTGTCGATGTGGCAGACGTCGTTGCAGCCGCTGGGAAAGGATCCAAACGCTCAGGCTGTTGCAATTGAGGAGCGGCAGGAGGTGCGTATGCTGTCGTGGATCTCGGCATCGGAGGAGGTACCGGCTGAGCAGCCGCAGGGGCATAGGATGAAACAGATCTTTGCACCTGAGGAACAGTCGGAGGAGCATACGTCGTCGATGCAGGCCTCTGCACTGGAGGAACAACAGGGGCGGCATATGTCGTCGAAGCAGGCCTCTGAACCGGAGGAGGGACCGGAGGAGCATAAACAGTTGAGGCTGGCCTCTGCACTGGAGCAGCGACCGGCGGCGGGGGCGCGTAAGTCTGGGAGCTCTGCCTGACAGGCGGAGGAGGCTGGAATTGGGCCGGTGGAGGGCCCGGAGGTGGCACGGCCTGCTGAGGGGGAGGAGTAGGTGCAATGACTTGCGGAGTATATCTTCCAGACGGCCGTGGCTTAGGCACCACAGGTAGCTCCTCAAAGAAACCACTGCTGGGCTTTGAAGTCGGCGGCTTGGGCCTTTCCGGAGGGGCTGATCCACCGAACGCACCAGTAGGCGGCTGCACAGAAGGACTAGCCATCGCCGGCGACATGCTCGCAGCAGACGGAGGCGGCATTGCGGGACTGGCAGGGTTGGAGTACATGCTGCTGATCCTTGGAGGTGGTGCTCTTTGCTGCGGTATAGGCATCGTCTGGGAATGCACTGGAGCTCGCCTCTTGGGCTTCACAATGTCTTCTGGCAGGTCGTAGGGCGAAGAGTAACCGCCTTTCGATTTGGCCGCAAAACTCTGGGCGGAGGTTGGCGCCGGTCTAGTTGGTTGTTGTTGGAAGGGGGCGGAAGCGGCATATGGTGAAGCAGAGGCATATGCGCCGTAAGGCGAAACTTGTGCCGGCATACTTGGTTGGGACAGATTCACCTTCTGGAGGCCCTGTGGAGCATATGGGTTTGTGACAGTTGGGGCCGGTGCTGGCTGAGCAGGGGCAGCAGGCGCATATTTACTTGCACTAGTCGAAACCGTGCCGGGTGCAGCAGCGTCAGGGGTTTGAGTACCGTTTTGATCCGGTTGAGGCACAGTGTCATCGAGGAACCCTTCATCGTCTTCGTCCAGGAAGAATGCTGAGGGGTCGACCGACCCGGATTCCGCTGGAGTGTCGTCCAGCAAATCATCGTCGGCCAACGCTTCAGCCCACATGGCGCTTAAGTCTGGCTCCTTGTTCTCTGTGGGTTTTTCTTCGGCACCAGAAAGTCCTAATCCTTGCGCCTCGGATGTGTTGGCACCAAAACCGAAATCCGCATCATCAGCAGTACCCCAATCCAGATCTGGAGCGCCAGATGGCTCAGCGGTAGCAGCATTTTGAACTGCAGGCACTTCATGTGCAAAGCTAGGAGCTTCTGTCTGTGGTGCCTCCGCCGTTGAGGGCACTTCCGCACTGGTGGCTTGTTCAGGCTGGGCAATGGCGCCAAAATCTATATCGGCATCACCGGCATTACCCCAATCCAAATCCGGACCGTCAGATGACTCAAACATGGCCGTATTCTGGACTTCAGGCTCTTTAGGCGCAAAGCTAGAGGTTTCCGTTTGAGAAACTTCAGTTTGAGGAACTCCAGCCTGAGGGGCCTCCGTCGGTACCTCTGCCGTAGAAGGCGCCTCGGCACTGGTTTCTTGGGTGGGCTGAGTGATGGCATCAAAATCGATATCTTCATCAACCTTGCCCCAATCCAAATTCCCAGTGCCATGTTCCTCGGTCGTAGCGATGCCATGATCAGTAGGCTCCTGGTGTGTTGGAGCATGATCCTCTGCATACGCTGTTTCGCTTGTTGGTTCTAAACTGACATTAAAAGGACCATCTGGTGCTGTGCCACACTCCAATTCGACCTGGTTCCAGTCGCGTTCCACAGCACCAGATTCAGGAGCTATATCCGCCGGCGCCATCTCGGGTTCCTGATGCGACATCGGTTCCGGTTGCACCTGTTCCACTCCAGCTTCTTGTGTTCCCAGAACGAAGTCCTCGGCATCAGCGGCGCCCCAATCAAGGTCGGGTGCTGATTGCTCAACCGCAGTTGCAGCCTCGTTCTCGGCTTCCTGGTGAACGACCGAATCTTCGGGCTGCACCTCTGGGAAAGTCTCCGCTTTCGCTTCCTCTACCGGCATTGTATGAGTTCCAAGGTCGAACGTGTCTGTCGCACCCCATTCGACGTTCGGCGAACCGGTGTCTTCAGCCAATGGCGCATCCGCTTTCTCCTGGGCTGCTTGCTCGAGGGCCGTAGTTTCGCCTTGGTGTTCGTAATGTTCGTAATTTGCATGCTCATCGGACGCTTCCGCTGCGGGATTGGTTGCATGCAACGCCTCGGTATCAATGGTCTCAATGTCAGGCTGTTCGTGAGCAGGCGTCGGGGCCGCCTCGTCAAGCGGTGTGGGCGCAGGGCCCTCCGCACGACCCGGCTCTGGCTGTTCAATCGGCACAGAGACTGCGTCATCAATGCGGGCGGACTCCGAGTCCTCGGTTGGATGGGAAACTTGTTCCTCGACGGGGTCTTGGGTCGAATCGTGGGCAGGCGCGGGAAACTGTTCATCTACAGGGACTGGGTCTTGCGCAGAGACTGGGAGTGGTTCTGCGTTGGGTGGCAAATCCGGCTTCTGCGCAGACTTCAGTACCTGGTCATCCACAGACGGTGCTGCTGCTGCCCCCTCGGTCGCCTGTGACGGTTCTGAAGGATGAGCTGGAGCCTCTACAGCCGGAGCCTCTTCAGGCGCGGTAGTTGTTTCCCTCGCATAGTCGTGCGCAGGTTGTGCTTCCGAGTCGTAGCGACGGCTGAAGAAATCATCGTCGCTATTGTCCAGCGCGGCGGCCAGCTCCAAGGTGTTGGTGCGGCTGTGGCCATTGACGGGGTGGGCGTCCCACGAGGTGCGCGGGGCGGTTTCTAGCGTCTCGGGAGACTGGTAGCTCATGGGCGGGCTCGTCGCATGGGAGACGTTGGCCTGGGCGGTTTCAACGGATTCGGCCACGAGGTCTTGCGGCTGGGGGTGGTGTGTGGGGGCGGCGCCCTCGGGCTGGGGAGTCGAGAGTGGAATCGTGTCATCGGCGGCGTTCGTAGGCGTGCGCGGGGGATCGTGAGGGTTCTCCATTACGGCAATTATTCTATGAGGACAGGAAGGTAGATGAAATACTGCGCATGATCAGTCGTCGGGACCGAGCGCGAGGAGCGGCAGCGGCGTAGCGAGCCTGCGAACCTATACAAACAGAACGGAAAGGCTACGATGCAAAGGCAGAGAAGCCCTGGGTCGAGGTATGGCGGGGTTCAGCAGAACATGCTTGCTGACTGTGGATTGGATAGTTGGAGAGGACAGCTTGCCAACGATTGTTTAAGCTCAAAAGTTAGTTAGGTTCCTGCGAAGGCCGCGTTTCCGTTCGGACCATCACCCCGACGTCTCAGCGACTCCCCACGGCCTCCGCCAACGCAGCGCACCTCACCAGCACGCAAGGCTCCCAGCGAGCCCGCAAGCAAAAGCCCCCGGGCACCCCCAACGCTCGTGCTTTGATCGCCACGCCCGTATCCGCATCCCGCAACCCCAGACGACCCGCCGACACCTCCGATGCGGCATGTCCCTCTCACATCAATACCACCAGCCCAACGCGCCAGACTCGCCCGTTGATGACAGCGACTCGGACCTCGAGCTGCTCGACCCCATCCAGACGCCCGACCATGACACCGACCCGCCTGCGCCCTCGTCGCGGCCCCAGTACCAGCTGGGCGCCCGAATTCCTCTCCGCAACCTGCGCGTCGGCAGGCTTCGCGGCAACAGAGACCAGGACCCAGACGCCGAGAGCCTGCGCGGCCTCATCGACGACGATGACGCTCCCAAGCACCATTCTGCTCATAACAGCATAGGCACCATCGGCGACGACGATGCCCCTTTGCTGCCTACGACGCGCGTAAGAGACGCGGCGCCGAAACAAGGCAGAATCCAACGGCTAGCCTCGCGCATGCGGCTACCCAGCTTCAAGTCTTCCAAGAGCTCGCTCGCACCGCCTGAGCATACCGAAGACCAGGCCGAGGAAGAGCATGACCCCTCTTCCAACCGTACCGTCGCCGTCGGCCAGGCCCAATCCACCCGCTTCCCTCCGAACGCTGTTTCCAACGCCAAATATACCCCATGGAGCTTCCTCCCACGCACCCTGTACAACGAATTTTCTTTCTTCTTCAACATGTATTTCTTGCTCGTTGCGCTTTCACAGGTTATTCCGCCGTTGCGCATCGGCTACCTCTCCACGTATGTTGCGCCGCTGGCGTTTGTCTTGTGCATCACCCTCGGAAAAGAAGCGATAGATGATATACACCGGCGACGTCGAGACGCCGAAGCCAACTCGGAGAACTACACGGTCTTGAGATTCGATGACCCAACAGTCACAGGCACCACAACGGGAAAGAGTTTTGGATCACGGCGCAAAGGGAAGGACAAGCGCAAGAGCACTCGAACTTCTGAGGTTGGGCGCGAGGAAGAAAACTTGGTTGGCGAGAGACCGACGGCGTCGGTTACAGAGGCCAATAAGCCTTCAAAAGATCTCAAGGTGGGCGATATCGTCAAGCTTGGAAAAGACCAACGTGTGCCAGCGGATATGGTGGTCCTCAAATCATATCTGAGTGAGAATGCGATACAAGAGCCCCAGGAACCGTCACCTCCAATAAAGCCGGAACCGAACCTTATTGATACGGATACAAGTGGTTCAGAGGTCCAGGAAAGTGTGCAGAAGGAGAATGAAGCGGCGATGAAGGAGAACACAGCATCCAGCAGTGATTCATCGGGGGAAGCCTTCATCCGGACGGACCAGCTTGATGGTGAAACCGACTGGAAGTTACGTCTCGCTTCGTCCCTCACTCAGGCTCTAGACGTCGGTGAATTCACGCGCTTGCGGATCGTGGCCGGCAAACCTGACAAGAAGGTCAATGACTTTGTGGGAACAGTGGAACTTCTGCCGAAACCAAAGAGTGGTTATGATCCTCACGAGGGCGATGCTTCTGAAACGCCACAATCTGCTCCTCTGACTATTGATAATACCGCCTGGGCGAACACAGTTTTGGCTTCTACATCTACGGTTCTCGCTGTGGTTGTTTATACTGGAGTCGAGACCCGTCAAGCCTTGTCTACATCTCCCTCGAGGTCAAAGACCGGTCTCTTGGAAGTTGAGATCAATTCGCTGACCAAAATTCTTTGTTTCCTCACGCTTGCTCTGTCATTCATTCTTGTCGCTCTTCAAGGCTTCAAGGCTGAAGGTGGCAGGGAATGGTATGTTTCTGTCATGCGGTTCCTTATTCTCTTTTCGACCATCGTCCCTATCAGTCTCCGTGTCAACCTGGACATGGGCAAATCCGTCTATGCTCGTTTTATCGAGAAGGATCAGGGTATTCCGGGTACTATTGTACGAACCAGTACAATTCCAGAGGATCTTGGGCGGGTTGAATATCTCCTCAGTGACAAGACGGGAACGCTCACCCAAAACGGTAAGTTGACCCGCTGGCTATGATTTGTCCCTGCTAATTCAAACAGAAATGGAAATGAAGAAGATACACGTTGGTACCGTCTCATACGCGAATGAAGCAATGGACGAAGTCAATGCCTACGTTCAACAAGCATTTCCAATGTCCGCAGACGGATCGGAGTCTTCGACGCTTATTACCCCATCTTCGGCATACACAGCGCCTGCGACTTCCGCCACGAGAACTCGACGAGAAATTGGGTCACGTGTGCGTGACGTTGTCTTGGCTCTAGCTCTTTGCCACAACGTTACGCCTACCACGGAGGAAGTGAACGGAGAACTTATCACGACCTACCAGGCGTCGTCCCCTGATGAGATTGCCATTGTGAGATGGACTGAAAACGTCGGCCTTCGGCTTCTCCAGCGGGATCGTCACAGCATCACCCTTCAATCCGTGGAAACAGGCCGGACGGTTGTCAAAGTACAGATTCTCAATGTATTTCCTTTTACGTCGGAAGGTAAACGCATGGGTATCGTTGTCAAGTTCTTCCAAGGATCGGAAAATAGCCCCAGCGACAACGGTGAAATTTGGTTCTATCAGAAGGGTGCCGATACCGTTATGGCCTCCATCGTCGCTGCGAATGACTGGCTTGATGAAGAAACGGCAAATATGGCAAGAGAAGGCCTTCGCACACTGGTCGTCGGACGCAAGAAGCTGTCGCCTCAACAGTACGACGACTTCACCAACCAGTTTTCTCAAGCCTCTTTGTCCTTGCATGGACGCGACGCCGCGATGGCGAACGTGGTCAAGGACTTTCTTGAGAACGACCTGGAGCTGCTGGGTGTCACTGGTGTCGAAGACAAGCTGCAGCGCGATGTCAAACCTTCACTCGAGTTGCTCCGCAATGCTGGCATCAAGATCTGGATGTTGACGGGTGACAAAGTCGAAACTGCGCGTTGTGTGGCTGTCAGCTCGAAGCTGGTCGCCCGTGGCCAGTATATCCACACAGTCGCCAACATGAAGCGCAAAGACCTCGCCAACGACACTCTGGATCTTTTGCGTGGAAAACCAGACTCTTGCCTTTTGATAGATGGCGAATCGCTCTCTCTTATGCTCACGCACTTCCGCGAGGATTTCATCTCCATTGCCGTCCGTCTTCCAACGGTCGTCGCCTGCCGTTGCTCGCCGACACAAAAGGCCGACGTTGCTAAGCTCATCCGCGCTTACACCAAGAAGCGTATCTGCTGCATCGGTGACGGTGGTAACGATGTTTCCATGATCCAGGCAGCTGATGTCGGTGTCGGTATCGTCGGCAAAGAGGGAAAACAAGCGTCTCTGGCTGCGGATTTCTCCATCGAACAGTTCTGCTACCTCACCAAGCTGCTCGTGTGGCACGGCCGAAACAGCTACAAGCGCTCGGCCAAGCTCGCGCAGTTTGTCATCCACAGAGGTCTGATCATCTCCGTCTGCCAAACCATTTACAGCATCGCGTCCAAGTTCGAGCCGATCGCACTCTACCGCGACTGGCTGCTCGTTGGCTACGCGACGCTGTACACGATGGCGCCCGTCTTCTCGCTGGTGCTTGACCGCGACGTCGACGAGTCACTGGCGAATCTATACCCGGAGCTGTACAAAGAGCTCACGACAGGCCGCAGCCTGAGCTATAAGACGTTCTTCATCTGGGTGGCCGTGTCCATCTACCAAGGCAGCATGATCCAAGGGCTCTCGCAGATTTTGGTAGGAGTGACCGACTTCCACAAGATGGTCGCCGTGTCGTTCACGGTGCTGGTGATGAACGAGCTAGCCATGGTGGCCGCAGAGGTCACGACGTGGCACCCGGTTATGATCTTCAGCATCCTGGGCACGGCCAGCATCTTCTTCGGCAGCATCCCGTTCTTGGGCGACTACTTTGACCTGCATTACATGATTACGGTCGACTTTGCGTGGCGCATTATTGTGATTGCGGCGATTGCGCTGGTGCCGCCTTATGCGGGCAAGATCATTGGACGTACGATTAGACCGCCAAGCTATCGCAAGGTGCAGGCTGTTTAGAGGGCGTTGGTGCGCGTATGTATATGTAGGTAGCTGGCCTCTTTGGGGCGTCGCAACTATTTTTTGTCTTATTTCTACTAGATTTTGCGATTTTGGCGGTGATACCTTGCTGCCTGCTGATGTCGGTGTTCTTTTCTCTTTTCCATGGGCCAGATCCGCTCGTGCCAAGGTCTTCCAACGGCTCGGACTTGGAATGGGGAGATCTTGCGCTCTGTTCTTGTTCTTTTTCATGGTAAACGCTCCTCGCTACCACATTATGGATTTGTCCACGGGTAAGGGTTTGGGGTATTTTAAATACCTGGGTGGTTGCTCTCGTGGCCTTAGTTCTTCAGTCTTCACTTACAGGTCGCCATCTCTGGATCTCTCGAGTATCTCCGCCACTTCACGCTTCTCGGTATACCTCGAGAATCTCACTCACATCGAGCATCTCCTCTGGCTTCGAGCACTTCTGGTCGGCCTCAGCATCTCGACACACCACAGTGTCCAACGTCCAACACCAGGAAAAGCCGCTTCCACCGCTCTTCCCAACTCTCGACCTTAATTCACGACAATGTGGCAGCCATTCACCAGCTCGCTCAAGCGCATCGGGCGCAGCAACCAGCAGTCCAACGAATCCGACACGCTCCCCACCACAAACACGACCAAAACCGCCACCACGCCAACCACACCCCCCACCCCCACGAACCCGACAGCGCTCTTCCGCCAGCACGTCCGCTCCCCACCATACACGCCCGCCGTCCCCGGCGCCATAGAACTAACGCCCTACCCACCACACGGCATCCCCACGCCCAACTCATTCCCCTCCTCGCCTGTACTCAACCCCAACCCCAACTCCACCACAACCACAACCACCACCCCCTTCACCCCCGACCCAACCTACACGCCCTACCCCGCGACCGCCACCGCCGCCGCCGAAAACAGCCTCGCCGCCCTCCTCGCCCGCCACGCCCTGCTCGTCTCGTACCCAACCTTCCAGGCACTGCTGCGCCTGCCAGACGACGCGGCGCGCGAGCTGCGCGTCCGGAAGTTGAAGGTCGAGAGCGAGAGGGCGAGCGAGAGTGAGCGGCCTAGCGGGAGTGAGCGGCTTCCCGTACGCTCGCTCTTGGCTGCGGACAGAGTCACTATCCCGCGCCACGAGCAAGCCAACAGCAATAGCAACGGCTACGACTACGGATACGGCTACGGCTACGGCTACAGCAGCCCCACGCCCACGCGCTACGGCTACGGCGTCCACGTCGTCGAGGGTGGCGAAGGCGATGTCGGCGATGCGCGCCTCGAGCGCCAGGACCAGGGGTGGCTGGACTGGACGAGGCGGGTGCGTGGCGCGCCTGCCGTCCCTAAAACTCCTACTCCCTCCCCTACTGTCCCCGCAGCTCCCGCTGCCGCTGCAACAGTAACGACAGGCGCGCCTTGCGCGTGGCGCTCGCGCCGCTCACAGCGCCTTAACCACCTGCGGGGGCTGGACCTGGAGAACGGCACCATCAACAACACCGCCAGCAGCAGCGCGCTCCTAACAGAAACGCACGCGCCCCTCTCCCCCCTAGGCTGCCAAAGACAGCGCTACAAGGCCGGCTGCCGCCGCTTCTGCACCGCCGCGCTCGTCGTCGCCGTTATTGTGCTCGTCGTGGGCGGCGGCACGGCGTTTGCGGCGTGGGTGAGTGGGAGTTTGGGCGAGGTGCGGGAGGGGAGTGAGCCGTTTGAGGGGGAGGGGTAGGGTGGTGGGGGGCGTTTGGGGGGGGTTTGGTATACTCGTATTGGCTTTGCAACTGTGGGAGAATGTGGACGTGCTGTAGCATAACCTTTAAGAAATTAAGAAAAGTCGTTTTTTTGGCCCTTGAGATCCATTTCCTCGGTTCATGGTCAAGGACGTTACGTATCCGGGTAGCTGTAGCGCGATCCCCCCCTCCGGACATTATTCTTGGATCAGCGGCGTAGGTAAGCAGTCGACTATCTACTTGTTCGGCAATCAACCATTCTACCAGGCGGGCAGGATCGATGAGGCGAGAGCAGTGTGTGGAGAAAGCGCCGTTGATTGAGGAGGGGGGGTGCAAGACCGCCGCCTCGCCGAGAGGGTGTACGGTATGTAGTAAGGAAGGCGACATGAGTCCTGCGAACACGTTAGAAACCAGCCATGAGTGCCGACCGCGGTGGGAGCACGTTCTCCCTCCCTACCGACGACAACGAATCCAAAACCTCAAGCACCACAACGGCTTCCAGCGAGCGCGGTGCTCAGACACGATGACGTCCGCCGCCAGCAGCCAGGACCTTCATCAAAGCGCCTTTCCCTCATATATACTCACTTGCACATGCGCACGAAGCCGGCAAACGAGGAGGGCGCGCGAGCGCGAACCTAAAAGTACAGAGTACGATTATTCGGCACCGCACCAAACGCGCATGCGGACGCGGGAGACGGTTCCAGGCACGAGTACGGATTATGTATGTATGTAGGCTATTGTATGTAGCAGCGAGACAAGGGCCTGTGACCAAGTTAGTGCGGTAACTACCTATCTTAGGTACTAGGTACATTGAGATGAAGACGGCGTCGCGACAACGAGAGCAGGCGTCACGACGCAACGCAAGGGTAGTGCAGTAGATATGTAAGCCGTACCTATGCAGATAGACGCCAAGAAGAATCGGATAGGTAGGTAGCATGGCAGGCAGGCAAGCACTTATGTTGGCGCTGATAAGCACCTAGGTACCTACCCATGCCTGCGCGGCGCGACAAGCTCCGCGCCTCGGCGCCGCCGGCCCGCCAAGCTGACGGCATCAGTACACATAGACAGGGGGGCGCCGTGCGTGCATATTGCATGCATGCAGGAGGCGATAGCTAACTAATAGCGCGCGCCCCGTTGGTGGGACTGGGGCGGCGCTGAGCTGGGGGCTGGCTGGCTGGCTGGTTGATCATGCTCACTCGCTCACCAGCGCTGTCGGACTCGGATGGCTTTTGCGAGCCGGGGCGGGTCGATCTTCCATCCATGTCGATCACACTCACCACCAGCACCGCACCGCCAAGCCCAAGCCGCCACCACTCGCCCTGAGCCAGAGCGGTTGCGTTGGCCTTGGCTTGCTTTGATTTGCCTTGCCTGGGGTCGTGTGGGGAGCACAAGCGATCGCGGTGGTGGTAGTTACAGCACAGCGTGCGGCGGCGCGTGCCCCATCCCCTCCCCTCGCCTCCTGCGCCGGCTAACTACCCGGAACGGGGAGGCGCCCTGCACCTCTTATCTGCCGCTGCGCTGTGGTTGTGGCACCCTCTTGTAGTACTAAAGGAGCGTGTTGCATGAGCCTGAACTGCGCCCTTGCCTTGCTGCTGCGCCATTCGTCTCGCGTGCTGCCTCTTGTTCCTGGAATTTCCATGTCGGGAAACTGTGGGATTGGAGGCTCTGCTTGCAGTTGACATTTCTGGGGCTCGTGCCGCTTCGGTGGCTGGTCACAGATCACTCGAAGAACAACAGCATCATAAGAAAAGTTTGGATTCTAACGCTTTTTAGGAAAAGGTTGCTGGAATAAGAAAGGAAACACCATCTCTTCCATCAAAAAATGAAGCGCCGTCATCAATCCATGTCGTCTTCAATCGTCGTCTTCAAACATCTTGGACGGGTCCAATCCGTGCAACGGCTGGCGGAGCGACTCCCATATGTTGTGCATGCGTTCCTGTTGTCCCACGGTGAACTCACTGCGACATTTGCTTCTCAAAAGTCAGCAAACAACTCAGACTCAGGTCAGGAAGCATCACTTACTCCGGAGCATAACCCATCAGGTTGTGAACAGGGTCGTTGCCTTCTTGAAAAGGGCAAGAGTCACTTTGCTCCTCGTCGCAGTCGATAAATGGCCAACGCTGCGCGGCAGTGTCGTCGATGAAGTCATTTGGTTCGTCGCATCCGCTTTGGAACGGATGAAAAAGCCCGAGCCAGTGCCCAACCTCGTGCGAAAGAGTAGCGCCTGTCCGTTGACTGAAAAGAGAACTGCGTGATCCGCTTCCTGGAAGGGTCCTATGATCGATCAAGCAACCGTCCATCCAGAATCTGATTCGTTAGTATGGCGAACGAGAGGTAGCGTCAGGATTGCCCACATTTCATATGTAGTCATCGACACATCAATCGACGACATACCGCTCACTCCAACCACATCGCGAGGAGGGTAGCACAGCCCCTCAACTTTGTATTCGAAATCCTCCAAAATGAAGACGTTGAGCGTGGTGTAGGTGCCTTTGCGCAAGTGTCTCCTCATCGGCATCTCCTGTAGATTGAAGAATGATTTCGGCATCGTAGCAGTTTCGCGGTCGACCTTCCAGACACTCCACTTGGGTTCGACGGTGTGAGTGGTGCCACTGTGCTTGAAAGAAATGCCGTGAGGCGCGAAATCTTCGTTCAGTCTGTCCAGCTGATTCATGACTGTTTGATTCTGTGGACAGTTAGTATCAAGGGTCAGAAGCAGGACGGACAAGGGAAACTCACACTGACAAAGCCTTGCGTCTTGTTTCTGCCGCCAGCAACGACATGGAACCAAGTGTCAATGATGATGGGGGTCCTTTGTACGAGGTGACCGGCGATCCTCCTTTGGCGCTCCTGCTCGGCAAGGTATCGAGTGAGGTTGAGGGTTGACGCCGAGGGGTCAGGCGAGCCGCAGATTGGGCGATTGACGTTTGGAGGCGGGCCTTCTGGGAGGAGGAAGGATTCGACGGCGGAAGCAGCACCCATGAGGAGGGCGAACAAAGACGCGAAGTGCATTGTGAAGGCGGATAGAAGCGACGGACAATGGATGCGTGATAGACAATGGAGCGGGATGTGAGGAAGTTATGGCGGCAGCGAGCAATGAAAGAGATGTTGTAGAGGAAAATGATAAGGACGGTGGTTGAACGGCTTTTGTACTGTCTGTGTCCTGAGGCGCTGCTTCCGTTGTTGCTTTCTGTTGTCTTGCACCTCCGCCGACTTCCTTCCTCGCTGTTTCCCAAACGAGCGACAACTCCTGCTCCGTCCACGCTCATCGAGCAGCTGCCCGCAGACTTTGTTGCTTCGCCTACATACGACAGACGTCACAATGCGCTTGAAGCTGTAGATCTCTTTGGGATGTATCGGCCATGATGCGGGCCTTCCAAGAGGTAGGTATGGAGGTCCAGCAGGCGGCTTCATCCTCATGTAACAGTGACACTCCTACACAGGTAAAGTGCTCCCGTTTCTTTCCTATATCCGTCCGTACCAGCATTGTTTTCAAGCCACTAGCTTAACATCGTCGCTGATGTAGGACAGGTTTCATCCACACGCGACAGTACTCCATCTGTCCGGGTTCAGCGCCGCACACCCACCGTTACAACCACTATACATAGCTCTGCAGTGGTTTGAGGCACGTGAGCTTAGCACCGTCGTTCACATAGGGCAGAATTCATCCACACGCTACAAACATTTCATCCGTCCGGCTTCAGTGCTGCCACACCTACCGTTACAACCACTATACTTCACACTCAGTAGCGGCTTCGGGCACTTAAGTTCGGCATCATCCTCCACGCAGAGCAGGCTTCATCCCCGTACAACGGCGCTTGTTTCACTCAGCTCCAGCGCTCCGTGGCGGTCAATTTGTCGGAGGCCGCCGACGCGTCGGTTCCTTGGCGGCCTCACCTCCGGAGTCAATTTTATGGCGTCGCAAGCCTCTGTGGACAGAAGTTGGCGATGTTGCTCTCTGTGGACAAAAGTTGGCGATGCTGCTCTCCGTGGACGAAAGCTTCTCAAGCGGCAAACAACCTTGGTTGACGCCCGGTGGCCCGCTTACTAACTATTCCCTTCATTTCACACCGGGTCGTGCGGGTTACGGATCCGTACAGACAATCGGATAAATATCCTTACGGCCGTCCGGATTTGGAGGTGTTTGCTCCGGAAGACTGATCGAGGCGAGGAAACGCTGGCGAGGACAAACTCGAATCGTAGGGGACGTCGACGGTCCGCTTCAAGACAGATGCCAGATGTACTCTTGCTCTTATGCGCTTTGACATGTTGAAGTGTCCCAGAGTTGTGGTTCGATTTCCGGCCGAGAGTTGACACGGTTGTGTTTAGGTGCGGCTGTCTTCGTATTCCGGGATGCGGTGAAGCGAGACGCCACTTCGCGAAAACTTTGCGGAACCACAGCAGTTCCGACGGCAACTGAAAAGAATCACGACGCCAGAAGCAATTGAGCGACAGATGTCAGCAGGTGTGAGGGCGCAACTGTGGCTGCGCGTGGCACAACTGGCCGGACCGTCTGCGCCATCTCGTTCCATCCGATCTCCGTCTCATGAGCCTCTCGCGAACATTCTTCTTATCAGGACTCCCATCCCAGCGGTCATGCCGCCACCTATCCCAAGATGGGTAGCATCTGCGATGCGGTTGTCAATTAGCCTAAGGATCAAGCTCGTATCGGGGACATCCGCTGTGGATCCCTGACTTGCAGCTACACCGCGCCGTTGTCACCTTCCCGATGGGGTATCTGATAATGCCGATCGTTGTTTGTATCACGCTGGCGAGGAAACCTCGCGTGAGAGCACAAAGGAACTAGCATTTTTTTCGCCGCCACAGCCCTATGGCCCAAACAGCATTCCACCAAATGTCTCGGCTCCGGCCTATCAGCTACCAATGATTAGCATGCTATCTACATTTACCGAGCTCGCCACGGTAGGACAGTCATTGGTCCTTGGCATTATGTGTAGTTTAAAGAAGCATTGCTCGCCACGACGCCGAGCCCGCCGTGCGCGCTTCTGCCATCTTGCTTCAGCTCACGCCAACTCATTGATTCGCCATGGCTTCCCCCGAACACGGAGTGGTCGAAGCCACTCAGCTCCACCAAGAGCTTATACTCGATGCCGAGAAGCCAGAGAAGGACATAGTTGGAGGTCAACTGCGCCCGAGCATCACATCTACACGTGATGTTACGGCTGGTGAGCTCGAGAAAACGGCTTCATCCACTGCAGATGGAGAAGAGCCTACCGAAGAGGAGAAACGCCAGCTACGACACATTGGCGAGAACTTGCCCATTTCAGCTTTCCTCGTGGCATTCGTCGAGCTGTGCGAGCGCTTCACCTACTATGGTGTCCAAGGATTGTTCCAAAACTACATTCAACGCCCGTTTAATGGCACAGAAGGACGCGGTGCTCTGGGTAGGCACTGATAGATATTCATATCGGAACGTCACTAACATTAAGCAGGTATGGGACATCAAGGCGCCACAGGTCTGAGCACATTTTTTCAGTTTTGGTGCTATGGTATGTATCCTTTTTAATCCGTACTTTTGCATGCACGAAGCTAATCATCTATAGTCACGCCAATTCTCGGTGCCATCGTGGCTGATCAATACCTCGGAAAATACCTCACCATTGTGGTCTTCTGCTGTATTTACATTGTAGGATTGCTCATCCTTTTGCTCACGAGTTTGCCCGTTGCTTTGGGTAACGGCGCAGGCCTTGGAGGTTTTATTGTCGCTATCATGTAGGCATCCGGAACACCGTCGCACCTCGATATATTTGCTAACTATAACAGCATCATTGGTATTGGAACAGGTGGAATCAAGTCCAATGTCGCCCCCTTGATTGCGGATCAATACAAGCGGCGTCAGATGGCTATATCGACTTTGCCCACGGGTGAACGTATCATCATTGACCCTAGTATTACGATTCAACGGATTTACATGGTATGTTGATTCAGCGCTAGCGACGCAAAATGCTGACCTTGATCAGATTTTCTATCTTTGCATCAACATCGGCAGTCTGGCTTTGCTGGCCACCCCATACATGGAGAGGGACGTCGGATTCTGGAGCGCATACCTTTTGGCATTGCTCGTTTTCTGTTGTGGACTGGTTGTCCTGATCTTGGGGCGCAAGAAATACGTCGTGCGGCCCCCTCAAGGATCAATCATCACGGATGCATTCAGGTGCTTGTGGATCATGATCCGCCACCGAAACATGGATGCTCCGAAGCCCTCGTTCCAGGAACGCATCGGAAACACCTCTATTCCAAAGTGGGACGACAAATTTGTGGATGAACTGAAGAGAGCGCTCGTGGCCTGCCAAGTTTTTGCCATCTATCCTATTTACTGGGTTTGCTACGGCCAATTTTCCAACAACTTCGTCACTCAGGCCGGCCAAATGCAGGGACACGGCATTCCGAACGATCTGATGCAGAACTTCGACCCTATTGCCGTCATCGTCTTCATTCCCGTCCTCGACCGCCTCGTCTACCCGTTAATGCGCAAAGCAAACATTAACTTTCCTCCGGTCAACCGCATTGTCCTCGGTTTCTGGGTCGCCGCGCTGGGCATGGCTTATGCGGCTATTTGCCAACACCTCATTTACGCCGCTGGTCCTTGCTACGAGGCGCCATTGTGTGAAGCTTCGAGAGACGCGAAGGGCATGCTCCAAGGAAATTACGTCCACGTCGCTGTCCAGACACCGGCATACATGCTTATCGGCATATCAGAGGTTAGTTTTCTCCGGTGCTTTACTATAATTCATACTAACGAGAGTAGATCTTCGCAAGTGTCACTGGCCTCGAGTACGCATACACCAAAGCACCGCCGAGCATGAAGAGTTTCGTCCAGAGCATGTTTTTGCTCACCAACGCTTTCGGATCTGCCATCAGCGAGGCCCTAGTCTCGGTGTCCATCGACCCGAAGATTTTGTGGATGTTTGTCGGTTTGTCGGTCGCTTCTTTCATTGCCGGAATTGTGATCTGGGTTATCTTCCATCACCTCAATGACGCCGAGGAGGAGATGAACAAACTTGGTTAGCGTCGGATGACGCGAGTAGGGAATTGCTGAGCGGAAATAGCTCATCACGCTTAAAGATTTATTGTATAATGAAACACGATTTGTTCATGTTCAGTTGCATCTGCTGGTCACGTTACCCGGCTTGTCTGTATTTCGGGCCGGCGATTCCCCCGTTATCTCTCCCGTCTCCAGACATTCGTAACATTCTGCGCAGCGCCAACTCAACAAACATGTCGATACTTCTCCGCTCCCATTTCTGGACCATAATCCTATTTTCTCGGGTGGTATTCGAATGATGCCGCACCAAGACGGCTCAGTGAGGCGTGGCAAGACTTTCACCGGATGCTGGACTTGTCGGGACAGAGGGGTCAAGTGCGGTCTTGAGAAACCGCGATGCCTACGTTGCAAGAATGCCAAACGGACGTGCGGGGGATACGGCATCCGTCTGATATGGGTCGATGAGCCAGGCGCCAAGGCAGCGGCCGGAACCCAACGGCGTCTGTTGAGCGAGGTCGCGCGATTGAACCCCGTGGACGAAAGCTTCCTGGATGCCTGGCTTCTAGAACTCGAATCATTCGATGGTCCCCACAGCTTACGGCTCGGACCATTTTCTGTTTTTCGACTGGAGAACGAGGCCTCGGCATCTCCACAGACGGTGCAAGGGCCGATGCAAGATGCAGACGCAGAGATAGAGTTGATCGACAGGGTCATGACAAGGAACACAACTTTGACTAGTTGCGGATCTTTTGCGAATCCTTCACACCTTACGATTCATCCAGCCCTGCGGCCCTATCTGGTTACCGCCACGGCACGCGAGCGCAGCCTGTTCCACCATTGGACATCGCGCTTGAGTAAGTCTTTGATGCCCACTGCGAGCGCGAAAAATTTCTGGCAGACCATCTTCACTCCTATGGCCCTTGGTTGTGGAGATGCATCAGAGTCAAGTCCCGGACACGCATCGCTCTTGCATAGTATATACGCTATAGCGGCTTTTCACATTGCCGAGCAGCAGCCAGCCAGGAAAGATCATGTCTTCATCGGCATTGAGCACTATCAAGCCAGCGTCCGGTATCTACGACAAAGTTTGCAGAACACCAATGAAGGTCAAGAAGTTGTGCTTGCGGCAATCATCCTCCTTGCCACTACCGACATTATTGTCGAAGATTCATCCCGATGGAGGGTGCACATCCACGGGGGCCGCGACTGGTTACGATGGCAGGGACCGTTGTGGACAAAGGGTCGCATCGCTTCCACACTCTACCAGATCTTTCATTCCACGGAGGTCATTGGATTCTCACACGACATGAAGCCCAACAATACTGTCAAGGAACAGTTGCTGGAAAGCCAAGCCACTGATTTAGCAGGCTTCCAGAGCGAAGATTACTGCCTCGACACGTACCTCGGCTTCCCGAAGCCGCTGTTCCAGGCTTTCAAAAGAATGTACGAGCTTCGACAGATGAGACGCCCGATCTACCCTTTCGACATGGTCGAGATCGAATGTCTTCTTGAATTCGGAAAGCCGACCGAGACTCCGAGCAACAACATTTCTTCTGCCACAGAAGACCCGATCAAAGACTACGCCTGGACCGCCTACTACGCGAGCCGCATCGCCTTCGAGCGCGAATTCCGCCACGCCTCTCCCCCAGAAGTCCACCACCACGTCCGCAACTGCACGCACCATCTCGAGGCCATCTACGCCATCGAGTGCACGCGAAACGTCTGCGGCAGCATCTACTGCCTGTTCATTGTCGCCTGCGAGGCCGAAGACCGGGCGCTTCGCGCGCGCCTCTTGCGGCTGTTCGATAAGGGCGAGATGTATGGCTTTCATAGCGTCAAGTCGGCAAGAGAGGTGGTCAAGGAGGTCTGGCGCCATAGGGATTGCACGGGGTCGTATGAGCCGAGGCAGAGGCAGGAGATTATGATGGCTATGGGGCTGGATTTGTTGATGGCTTGATTTGTTTCGAAGCGTTTGAGGGAAATTTAGAACGAGGCCTGAGATTAGACAGGGGATTTCCCTTGATGTAGACGTGGCCGTTAGTATGTTATTTTAAGGCATGCGTTCCTTACTGCAGTTCACTGCTACAAGTTTTGCTTTCTTGAAACAATAATTCAGCACTGTCGATATTGTTCCAGGCCTGTTATACTCTTATTGCTCATATTGCCAACGTGAAACATGGAAACCATCGCCAACTCAACACTATTGCCCGCCAAGATGATCCCACACACTACGCAGTCTTAGCCAAATCCACCCCCTAGCAGCTATATGCCCGTTATACAAACTGATATCAAAATGAATGTATCTCGACCACAGCGAGCTACCACTCCATGCCTGATCAAATGAGTTCAGCCATGCCCGATACGCCAGTGGTATGATGACAAGGTACCAAAGCACCACGGCGATAGGAATGGAGTATTTGGACACGCTGATAAACGCTCCCATCCACTTATCGTTCCCTGATAACGAAAAACCGATAATGCACCAAACAACTGGGATGATGATATGGCGCCAGGTATAGCTTCCCCGGTAGACTTCAAGGGATATAGGGCGACGAGATAAGGACCGGAGCTGTACAGGAGGATCTAGTAGGTATCAGCCACGTAGTAGTTTGTAGGAAGACACTGGAAGCCTATAAAAGTGTTTGATAACAGCAAATGAAAAGAACATACCGTATTCGATGAGGATTCGACAGGATGAAGAAACAACAAACGCTTCGTATTCTTCCAAGACAGGACCGTCTATTTCAAGAATATTGGATAGGTGCTCTCTTGCTTCCAAGCGATGTGCCTCTATCGGAAACTCGAACACGAGTCGTAAGTTGCCGATGAGTGCGTCTTCGTTTGCTCTGCAGTTTTCCGCGCCATCATGTTGGGTAACACGAAAACACGCACCGCGGATCTTCATATTCCCAGAATCAAACCCTGAATTTTCCAGCACTATACATTTAGTGCCTTTGAAGAAGAGATCCTCACCGTCGACAGTAGTCTGTGGCTGTATGGAGTATGTGACTCCTTTCTTCTGTGAGTGAATGTTGAATGACTTTGTGCCATCTAAATCCTCAACAAGAAAGACTTTTAGCTCTTTGGCAACATCCACCAGTTCGAGAACGGCAGCCTCAGGACACTGCTTTACTGTTGGTGACGTTGTGAGGTAACATTTGCTCGGTTCCACCGGGACCCACCTGTTTCTGTGCTGTCTGTGCTGATCGTACTTCGGGCCAGTATTGTAGAAGAGCGAAAATGGTAGAAGCTGGAAGCTCAGAACCATGGCCTCCATGCGGTGTTGTCGATCGTGGTAACTCATAACCGTATCCGCATGGAAATCCAGGAGATTAGCAATGATCACATGTATGTCGTCCGCCATGGTTGTGGATCTGCCAGCCAATTCGTTCCAGCTGTAGGCGAACTGTCTCACTCTGCCCAGCTCGCTTGCTAGTGTGGTGTAATGTTCAACGTCACCCCTTGTAGCACTGTCTGTCTCAGGAGCGTGGTACCTCTGCCATAAGTGCACTAGGAAACGGAACCGATTGCGCCTGAGCCGTGTACTTTCCAATTCTCGATATTGTTCGTCCCGGTCTTGGCTTTTCAGTACATTTAAAATGCACTCCGCATTGTTCCTTGTACCTAGAACTGCCTTGGGGGCATTGAATCCCTCCCAAGGGAGATTTCGAGAGAAGAACCGATTGGATTTGGGCCAGCTGCTTTTCCAGTTTTGATGTAATTTTTCCCAGTGAGAGTTATAAAGCGCCGTATAGATGCGCTCCAGGTGATCATCCTGCGGATGGTGAAACCCTATATTTGTAGAGGGCTGACCCTTGCGATGACCAGAGATGCACCATGCGTGGACAGGGTCAATGGCAGCATCTGCAAACTGGTACACGCAAGCACGCGCCAACACACCTTCCTGGTATGTCCAACTCCGATTCATCCATGCGCTGAATACTATGCGTGCCAGAAGCTCGCTCGCATGAATGTGGTTCGTCCGGGTCTGCTGGAGTTCCGCATCGAGTACGAGTACTTGAACGGCAGCGGCATAGATGGAAGCCATCTGGTTAATGGCTTGCAATCTGAGATGCCTGTCTCTATCCCTGACTGGAATACAGAGTGTATCTATCCAAAAAAGTGGAGAAGATCGGCCAGACGTAGAGAAGTTTTGGCGCCCCCAGTCTATTAAAACTGGCCCTACTCCTAGCACATTGCGTTCGCCTGTCTTTCTAGGCATGTTCTTGAGGCATGTTGCAATGTACTTCAATTGGCAATGTGGTAGGGCATTCGCGGACGGATTGCCTAATCCGTCAGACCAGACATGAGATATTGCGGTGTAACGACTTTGAGCGGTTCGCGGTTCAACGTGAAGGGCCATGTGTCCACCCACTTCGACCACAGAGACCAAGGGGACACCGCCAGATTGGATTATGCTGATGATGTGGTCGTAACTGGTGCCGACTGTAGGACATTGACAATCCGATCTGATGTGGCGAGTGAGATAGTTGTCCATGTTGACATTGCTCGCTACACATCTTGGAGATTGCCCACAGGACCTATGATCAATTCTTCGAAAGCCATTGCGTCGTAAGTTACTGAGGTAACTGACGACCTCGGTGGTGTAGGAATCTTCTATTTCCTGGATCTGATGCGGACACCAGCCATTTTCCACAAATTGACGGGAATACTGATCATTATCCGGGAGTTGGTTCCAGCCGTTCGGGAGAAATGGTTGCAGTCGATGCGGAACCTTGCGCTCTTGATCGGCATCCTGGCAGGATAAGAGAGAAAGCTCTACAGACATAGCTATCACTGTGAGTAAAGCTTTTGAAGGCAGTCGTTAAAGTATGAAATAGAAGAGCGGGATATCAACAAGGGTATAGTAGTGATGGGCTTGTTCAGAGCTCGACTTTCTTTAATGATGAGAACCGACAATTGTGTTAGTTCAAGCAACATTGGTGGGCAGACAGGACGTCTACTTTATACCTCTCTCATTTGCTGCTCAGCCACGAAAAATGCTACCATCGCGGCCGGCTAAGAAGGCTGAAACATTCCAATCCCTGCTCAACTACCATAGTGTGGCCGGTCAGGAAGGCTGAGCCAAAGCTGCGCAGGAGATAAACAGGGGTTCAAGGTATGTATGCTGTCTCTTCGGCGAAAAGCGTGGATGGTGGGATAGGAGGGTGACAGCATTTACGATGACAATGAGGCTACCCCTTCGCGTGTTTTCGGTCACTGTCTTGCAGTTACCTAGAAGCTTTTCGTGAGTTTCGTAAGGAAGTGAACATACGATGCGGAATGTCCGCTCATGCAATGATAGACCCTGGTGACACAAGCAGGGGACAAATTAATTTGTGACGCTAAATGCCGCGCTTCCACCAGTCGCAATGCGACCCTCAGTTGAGTGACCCCTGCGGCTGACATGTTAGGCGCCGTTGCGAGCGCAGTCCTTCCATTCTAGGCACATGGTCGGGATACCCATTGTAACGTACATTACACCAAACTTGATTCAGAGCGTGGCTGAGCAAAATACGTTTTCGTCGTCTCGTTGGGATGGCGTCAAGTTCCTGGGGTATATAGTATGTACTACCTTTGGTCTTTCCTCCGGGCAGTGCGTCATATTCCAGCTACCCGGCGTGGGCATTACTGTCCTGTACATCCATTGTACCTATGGCTTGAAGACACTTTCAGCAAACCAGGACCACCGCCTGCCCGTTTAGTTCCGTTCAGCTTTGTCCAGCTGCTCTTTCGGAGTCTCTCTCCGGCTCGGATCGATGATTTCGGCGACGAAAATTCTAGAAAGAAGACGGCTGGTAGGTCTCGCAGTAAATCTCCCTTCTATACTTATTGGGTCTGGCGATAATCAGCCTCTTTGGAATTTCCAGACGCTTACACGGACAAGACAGTGTGTCTTTGGCGAGTGCAGCGAGCCAGATAGCCACTCATCGGCAGAGAGTGGTCCACGCCATCCTGTAATGATGCTTGGCTTGGCCAGGCCTTGTCTGGGAGGAGGATGTAAGCCGATGGCACTTGGGGTTGGAAAAAGTTTGTCGACTGGAATTTCTTTGTGCGGTGGGTGAATTCATGAGCCCAATTTTCTGTTGTCGCGCAAACAACGCGACGCGACGCGCCAGGGTCCGCGTTTCCCCGCATTACCCCACACTGTCTTCTCTCCTCTTTCTCCCCGGCATTGTCTAATACAAACAGCCTTTCAATTGCTCCGTCAAGCAAGTTCTTCCCTCTGTGCCGCGCCCTATCAACGACTGACTTTAGTTAGAGGCAGGTACCCATACAATCTCCTTGACATTCGACGGGAGAAGCACTCTACCGGGCAAACACGACCGAAGAAATCCAACCAACTAACTCTCTCGCTTTTCCGAACTTCACTAGCAAGTCTAACTCTTGCATTAATCCTCCAGCCGGCAGTAACTGGCTCTTAGAACATTAGAACATGCAAGTTTCCCAGCAGCGCATGCAACAGCCACCTTCTAATTCAAGGTACGAAACCTTCGACCGCGGCAACCTCTACATACCCAGGGCACGCTCCAACAGCCAGGAGTACACGGTTCGAGGATAAATAGCAATGGAACATATTGGAGCAAGCAAAAAAGCGGAAGATTTTCCCGCTTCCTAAAGCCTCACACTTACCCAGCTCACGTCCAGCACGGCGATGCGCCTCACATTTCCAGCCGCCTACGGCACAAACGGTGCTAGCGATACAGGAGGAGGGCGAAATGCGTCTTACATCGTGAAGAAGACCGTTATTTACTCTCTTTCGTTCCCGTTCGGTCGCTCTACTGGTCCAGTGGTCACGGGGATGAACCAAAGGAGTCCAGACTGCCGCCAGCCGATTGAAAAAGATGTGAAAGGCTGATGTTGTCTGCAACTGCTCGAGGATAAATAGCCAGGCCAACGAGGCTACGAACTACTGGCAGCTTTTTGCTGGGTGTGCATTTACAATATCCGGTGCCATATCTTGGACATGTCCATCCATCGCGCCGTCAACAACACCGTGACCAGCGTCCGGTTGTCACACGGTGCTCGGATAGACGGCAAAGTTAGCCAAAAGCAACCATCGCGCGACATGGGTCCTTACCGGTTCTGCGAGGTCCAAGCTCCAATCGTGCATAGTTCTAGACCAATTCCAGCGTCCGAATTGCTGGAAAGTCTATTTTTGCATCAGTAGGCTTGGAGTTAGCTGCCGATTGGTGCCCGATATTTGGCTGTTAGCTCAATGTATAACCACGTGCCACCGGCTCCTTTTCTTGGCTGAAAACCCCAGATACATACCATGGCTTGCCCAGTCGAACTCCCGACCCTTGCTCTTCAATCTTTTGAGGGATCCCAACATGGGTTCCCAAAACAACTACGAATATAGCCCCTTTGAGAACAGAAGAGACATACGGCTCCTTAAAATCACCAAAGACCCACCGAGCTTCGATCTCGTGCACGCCAACCTCGATGCTCTCCCGCCCTATGAAACGCTCTCCTACACCTGGGGCGCGCCAGCACAAACACACAACCTCCCGCTTGGACCCAATGGCGGCATCATCGGCCTTACGTGCAGTCTCCGGCAAGCGCTTCCACTGGTCTCCTCGGCCATGCAGACCGACTTCATCTGGATCGACCAGATCTGCATCAACCAGAACGACATCCAGGAGCGAGGCCAGCAGGTCGCCCTCATGGACGACATCTACCGCCTCGCTGAGCGCGCTATCATCTGGCTCGGCCCTGAGGACGCAGAAACGCACCTTGCGTTCGAACTAATCCGGACCGCGACCACGCATTACCAGGAGTATTGGGCTAAGTCGAAGCAGACACTGGATGATGGTGTATTTCCTATGACCCGCTGCTTTGCGCCGCTGTTTGCTCCAGGCGGGAAACTTGGTGATGCGAAAAGAGACGCCAGGAGACTGGCTCTCTACCGGCTGCTTCAGAGGCCGTGGTTCTCGCGCGGCTGGGTCGTGCAGGAGCTCGTTCTGTCCAAGGCCGTCGCTGTGCGCGTCGGTGGCTACCTGATGTCGTGGGAGCATCTCATACAGGCTTTCCTTGCGGTTTACTCAACGCGACAAGCCGTAGAGAACATCAGTTTGCCGCAAGGGTTTGGGATCCAAATGGCGCTGAGAACGGATTACAACGAAAAGACGCAGAGCGGCGCAGGCTTCGGGTGGTTCGATCTCTGCCGGCTTATGGCTAACACCGCAGTGGCGGTCTCTACGACAGATCCAAAGGATAGAGTGTTTGCGTACCTCGGGTTTTGGAAACCCTCTGATTTCCTGCCGGACTACACGCAGACCGTCGAACAAGTCTACCTCGAATTCGCGCACCAGATCATGCAGACATCGGATTCTCTGGACATCCTGAGCCTAGGCCACGGAACATCCGTCTCGCCAACCGAAGGCCTGGCAGACCTCCCGTCATGGGCGCCTGACTGGTCCTCCGGCCGCGGATACTACTCGCTGCTGCTCAACAACACCAACGCCGTAGCCTGGGACGCGGCAAAAGCACGGCAGCACGCCGCCGACGCCGCCACAGCCACAGGATCGAGAACGCTCCACGCGCGCGGCAAAATCATCGACGTCGTCCGCGCCGTCTCGGCGAAGCCGTTCAAGAAATTCGCTTTTGGCAACCAGGACCTCGGCGAGAAAAGCTGCTTAGGGGACGTCATTCAGCAAAAGCCCCTCGATAGCCCGCTCAAGCACACCACGCGGCTGGACGTCATGCGCATGCTCAGCGCGGCGGCGCGCTGCGGCCAGAAACCCCGCAGAGACGACCCCGTGGAGTTGCTGGCTTTCTACGACGCCCACTGCTCGCACCTGCTCGATGGGACGGACAATGCGAGCGGCAGCTGGGACTGGTCGGCCGAGGAGACGATGCTGCTGCGCACGGAGACGGAGGTGAATTTCTTTGGCGTGTGCGGGCGCAGGCTCCTGGAGACAACGGCGGGGCGGATTGGGCTGGCGCCCGAGTTGTGCGAGGTTGGTGATGCGCTGGCCGTGCTGCATGGGTGTCGGGTTCCGCTTGTGTTGAGGCGCGTGGAGGGGGAGGAGAGTTATAGGCTTGTGGGAGATTGCTTTGTTGAGGGGGCTATGAATGGGGAGGCGGTTTCGTGGTTTGATTGCGAGGCTGATGAGATTGTGCTTGTTTAGGTCTGTTCTGAGTTGGGTTGAGGTGATGCGCAGTGTAAGTTAATTTGAGAAATGATGGTTTGAGAAATGGACGAATAAACGAGTCCTTAATGAAGCTCCATTTTCCTGTCGAGAAAGACTCCGCAGTAACGCATACATCGTGTCCTAACAGCGAGAGAAAAGTACATTGCCACTCCCATCCCTGTCCATTCTAGCACGCTTGTTCTTCGAGTCGAGTTGAAGTTCCTTTAGCGAAGATGACTTCACATCCTTGGCGTCCCAACCCTCAAGCCTCGCGTATAAAGGTGCCAGGCTGGAGGATTTCCATGTGCCGACGCCAGCTCGTTTTGTGTAAACCATTGTGCAGACGAGAAACGCTACGCCCATGAGTACCACGGCTAGTGGTAGAGAGCACCATGCCCATCGAACCTTGATGTACGTTTGCGTAAATATTGCTGACCCCAAGACTTTGTAAGAGGATTGACTACGCCCGATTGCGTAAGACATACTGGTGGTGATGTTGTGGACTGTATCGGCAATGCTCGCGCTCCTCATGAGAGCTTGGCCGAGGTCTTGTTCTGAGTCTGTGCTAAAGACATTTTTGAGATAATTCACAGTGAAAGAGCGATCTACACCATAGATATAGAAGCTTCTGTTCCCTGAATATGGGTCGTCGCTGTAGATGTCGAAGCGATAGTTTAAGGAAACAAATTCACGGTCTTTGACGATTTCCAAAGCGTGGTCTTTCACGGCACCGACATCGAAAACGCCGGCTGTAACGGAAATACCGTGATATGTTCGAGCACACCATGTTATATTGCACTCCGTGATATCTGGATTTTCAAGATATCTTTCCGTTATGTTAGACGTAGCGAAGCTTATGAGCGTGCTGTCTACCGGCACCATCGGCTCTTGGGTTTTAGCCGAAGAGATAAAATTTGTTTTTTTGAACGTGCTTCTTTCATTTAAATATGCCTCCATATGGAAACCTCCTGGTGTGGTGTAGTTACAATACTTGATTGCATATTTGTTTATACCACATTGCACTCGGGTGTCCAACGTGGCATTAATGCAGCTGCTTGAAAGTGCGAGTGTCGTAAATTCGGGCCACGAGCAATTAGCTGAAGGGCAAGTAAACTGGACGGGTCGTTCGATAGAATGAAGGCCGCTTAAAATAGCCGCTTGCATACTAGGATCCATGAAATAGGCGATTTCTTAGATAATTTGTCAGCGAGAACGAGAGACATTTTGGGCGACATTCTCTTACCTTCCAAACCCGTCACGTTAAATTTGTGATCCGTAACATATTGTTGGGCGGCACCAAACTCGGCTTTGCCCAAATCGGTGATATTTCTTAGTGAAAAAGCCAGTATTTGCTGAGTGAATGGGTCGAATGCTAGAGCAATGATTGTTATAAGTGATCCATAGACAGCCAAGCCAGCGCGAAAGTTGATGCTCCATAATAGAGTCATTGCACCCCAAGGGCCCCGGCTGGCTTCGTCAAATGTTTGAATATCACCCAGGCGGTGAGGGCGCCTTGCAAAATATATCCACTTGAGCTGACCGAGACAGGAAGCGATAGGAACCATCAAGGATGCGCGAGAAAGTGTCGAGAAGATGGAGATAAGAGCGTTGGGGGATATGAGGAAGCTCCAGTGAGAAAGCGCTTTGTCGTTGGTGGCGAAGAGGATGGAGACAACGGCTGAAACACAGCAGAGGCTGACAACAGCCGCCGCAATCTCCCATAGCCAGTCGTTGAAGGTGAAGACTGCGAGCGTTTCGGAAGGCGTGGAGCAGTTTTCTTCAGTTGTGTCGGTGGGGTCAGTAGGTTTTGAGGGTGGCTGGGTTGCTTGGACACTAGCGCTAGCAGAGCTCAAGGATGATTCTGAGTTGAGTCGACCATCGCCGGCGTTGGGTCGTAGGAACTCTGTGCTTGGATTTTCTTGTGCCGTGCGAGGCATGTGAGACTCGTTCTCCAGTGAAGAAAGTGAGAAATTGACAAGCTCATAGTCCGAAAGACGTGCGCCTGTCTCTGTCTCGGGGGAAACGGCGTCCATTTTAATCTCTGGCAGTCAGGTATCCGTCAAAAGGTGAGGCTGGGAATGGATAGATTTTGCACACTAGGCTCAGGGCCATCCTTTGTATCCAATAGCTACCTACTATTGTTTCGCAATCGACGTCACTTTGTGCCAGAGCTGAGTAGTTACACTACACATGTGCAGTGTAAACCTTGTACGAGAGTACTGCAGCTTCATTGCGAAGTCGAAAAGTGAGACTGGCAGGCATGGCTTAACCGCGACTTAACTGCATGCTATGCCTGGTAATTCTGTGCGCCTGGAGAGCGATGTCAGGACAAGGGAGCTCTTTTCCCGCGAGTGAGCTCACCTAAAACGGCCAAGTCCCAATAACTTTTTGACCTGGGGTGACGGGGAAAAAGAAAGCAAGAGGATCTGTAGAAAGGTCTCTACTTCAAGTTAGCGTGATCCCGTGGTTGCCTAGGCTTAGTTTCCAAGTAGCTTTGATTTGGCGAGGCGTTTAAGTTGCAGTTTTTGAATCGCGACCCCACCTTCCTGCTCGTGCCACCAGGACTAGTCTTTCTTAGGAAGCCCCCATACTTGCTCGCATCCTTATACAAGTCAGGAAAAGCTTCTTGGCATCTTCAAGACGGTGGCCGACAACACGCGAAGGAATTCACGAGGAACGAGCTCCTCCTTAGACGAGTAGTGGTCGTACAAAAGCCTTCTCGGATCCGTTAGTTATTGCAGCAGGGATTGAGATGCTCGTGCGACAAGGCTGCTGCAGGCAACAGGCCAGAGATTTCCTCACGCGCGAACGAAAATAGCAACAGCAACCGGTCAATGTCATGAGCAAAGGTCGTTCAAATTTTCCCCCGCTGACGATTGGCCCCAAGCTCATCTCCACGGCTGACACGACACGGCGACACGACTGGCCCCCAAGGATCGCAGGAGGCTGAATCAGCACGCGCACGGCGGCACAGCGGGTGCGTCCGCGTCGGCTAAGCAGCGCCACGGGGGACTTTGGCCCCTCTTAGACCTGCGGGTGCGACGGCAGGGTGGTAGCGGGCCGTGGAGGCAATATTGCGGGACGAAGGAGTGCGGCGAGGCTGAAGGGAAGGCGTCGTGACCTGGCTAGCAGGCAGGCAGCAACGGCGGTGCTGTTGCGCTAAGCCACGCCGAGCGCGGAGGCTCTCTTGGCCCCCGCCCTAGTCCCGCCCTAGTCCCCGTGGTCCCGCCATAGTCCCGCCATCCATTGCTGCTTTCGTATATAAATTCTGTCGTGATACCTCACCACACAGCTCACTACCTCGCCCCCTCTCTCTCATCCCCACGACAAAAGCTCCAACGCAAAAAACAAAAACAAAATCCAAAACCATGCGCTCCACCATCGCCACCTCGCTCGCCTTCCTGGGCGCCGCCTCCGCCCAATCAGCCACCACCACCTCGACCGTCCTCTCCTTCGCCTTCCCCTTTGGCGCCTCCCCCGCCGTCGTCCCCACAGCCGGCGTGACGGGCTCAGTAGTGGGCGTCGAGTCCGCGCGCACGACTCTCGCCTTCACGTGCGCGGAAGCAGCCAAGGAACTCACCGACTACAGCAGCGTCGGCGTCCTCTGCCCCATCGGCTCCAACACCCCCATGACCGTCACTTACGGCCCCAGCTACTTCGCCCAGTCGGCCCACACAACCGTCGAGACGGCCACGCTGACCGCCCCGGTCGACCTCAACATTGAGTGCGACGTGCCTGTCGCCGCGACGCCCGCGTCCAACTCTGCCAAACCCACTGCGACCAAGGACGCGGTCTGCACGTACGACTTTGGCGACAACGAGTTAGCCGAGGCCATGGGCGCGCTGTTCCAGTGCAGCCAGGAGAACGTGGCCGGCCCCGTCGCCGAGATTGCGCAGTCCAAGCTGGTGAGTTACGAGTTTTTTTTCGCGCATGTGGCGCAGCGCGGCGCAGTCCATGAAGAATCCTGAGCGCTAACGATCATGTCTTTCTCCAGAACACGGCCAGCGTCACCGAGTGCATCGGCTCCGCAATGCAGCACCCGGCCACCACGGCCGCCGTCACGTACAAGGCGACCGACGTCGTCTACTGGACCGTGACCGTCACCGACGTCGCCAAGGGCGTCACGCTCGAGGGCGCCTCGTCCAAGGCGACGGGCTCCGCCGCTTCGGCGTCTGCGTCTGCTTCCGCCAAGGACAACGCTGCTGCCGGCTCCTTTGGCGCGCGCCTGTCCGCTGCTGGCGTTGTCGGCCTTGCTGCTGGCGTGCTGGCTTTGTAGGTTTTCTCTCTACAGTCTGTGCTTGAGCGGCGAGTGTAACGATTTGCGCATGTATTACGAGCTTGGGTTGTTTGTAACGATTAGAGCGTTGTGTTGGGTTGGCTTGGGACGGGTGTGTAATTGAGAAGAGATATCCACGGCAAGAAGAGCTGGGTCCTTGTAAAGTCTTAGAGCTCTCGATAGTATTGTCGCTGTTCAACTTGTTTCTATTGCCTTTATGGCGAAGCCTCACTGCATTGTGGCGCAAGGTGGCGTCTGCTGTGTAACTACTGCCCAAGGACGCGTGACCGACGCGAACGCGTCAAGTGTCACAACCAGCCGAGGGCTCTTTTTGGCCAATTGCAATCTCTAAACATTGCACGTTCTCCCCTTAGAAAGTAGCCTCACACAACTTCAACCCCACTCACTATCCGACACGCACCAACCAAAACGCCATTAACAAGCCCCCGCTGCACCCACCACAACCATCGCCCCTCACACCTCAGCAGGATAAACAACAACGCGATCCAAGTCCGCACCTTTAAAATCGACCCCATTATCCAACCCCCCAACCGTAATCGTGTTGTCATCCCCCTCTTCCAGCGGCAGCAGCAGCGGCGTCGACAGAATCACGCCTTTGTTCGTGTCGCGCTGGAAGAGCGTGTGCACGTTCGCCGTGTCCCCGTTCACCACCACGCTGCTGATGCGCCGCAGCTGCCAGCTTCCGCCGTAGCGGTCGGGCGAGCCGCCGGCTGAAAGGGTGGTGCTGGTTAGTTTGCTGTGTTTGATGTGTACGAAGAGAGGACGGGAATGCACTTACGTTGGTCGCCGAAGCCCATGTCGTCCGTGTCTGGCGGGGTTTAGTGAGGGGCTTTGAGAAGGAGGAACGGGGACAAACTTTGGTAGTAGAAGGACACCCATTGCAGTTTCCCCTCTCCTTTTATGCCGTGGAACGTCACGGTGCTGTCGTTCCCGTAGATTCCTGTCAGTATCGTTCCGTTGCTGGCGAAGTTCTGAGCAGTGTTAGCTTGGGGAGCTGTGGAGTGTCTGTGCTGGTCATACGGCTTCTTGCTTGAATGCTTCGCCATTGGTCGTGGCGTCGTTGCCGTAGTAGGTCGTGCCTTCGACGGGACTCCATTCTCCGGATTCACTTTTGGCTTCCAGTTAGCTGAAGAAAATCCTTTGGTTGTCGATGGCGAAAGCTCGGTGACGTACACATCTAGGTCGTACACGTCTTGCCAGACGAGGTCCAGTGTCTTTTTCTCGTCGTCAATTTGAATAGGCAGCCATATGTAGCGGCTCTCCCAGAGAGAATTAGAGTCCCACTGTAGAAATGTAAGAAATTGTGCATGGACGTCTGTTCATTTCGATGACGCTTACTTGGTCACCAATGTAAAGATACGTAGTAGCCTTCTTCCCGACAATTCTCAATGAGAAGCCAGACTGCGAATTAAAAGTTCGAGTGTTCGGCGGAGAAACAGTAAACGGCTGAGACCAAGGCCCCTCAATCGAATCCGAACGGAAAGCAACAACGTCTGTTAACTGATGTCAGTAACCATAACCAAAATCAAGAGTACACCACTAACTGTTAGGCCTATAACCAGTCTTGTGGCTCATCAACGCGTAGTAGCTCTTCTCCGTCTGCACAATCGTAGGCGCCTCAAGATCAAACTTGTCAAACCTGAACCTCACCTCATCAAGCGCAGAGATCTCGTCATTAAACTCAGTGACATAGACGTCGCGGCCCTCTTTCCGATCGCCGTTCGAGTACAGCGCGTACGTTCGCCCGTCTTTGTGGTCCGTGAACATCCCGAAATCTTGCGACCAGTTGCCGAGTGGCGCCGTGGCGTTGACGAAGGAATACGGCCCGCTGATTTTGTCGGACACGGCGAGACCTTGCAGGAGCCAGCCGTAGGACGAGTTGTCTGCGTGCCACCACATCTTGGGAGATCAGTAAGATAATTAATTGCTACAGTGATGTTGGGTTGCTTACGTGGTATTGGTCAAGGCTTTCGCTGTAGGCGACTTTGGGTCTTTGGATTATATGCTCTGGTGAAATGTACTGGTGGCCCTCGACAGGCTCTAATTCGTAAATGAGCAAACAGACTCTTCATAAGAAAGTAGGGAACTAACCAAGCGCGAGCCCTTCATAAGTCCAAGTGGCCAAGTCATCAGAGCTGTAGACCGATACACCGCCGCCTTCTTCTTGCCCTTCTACTTTGTATTCGCCAAACCAGAAAAAGCGCCCGCTTTCAGGCTCGATGGTGATTCCGCCCGCATGCGCGTTGATCAAATTGCCATCTGTGTCATGCCACCTCCCACCTGGCACGATATACTTGGCATTGGCAACCAAGCCTACCACCAAAAGAAGCAATGCGAAGCTAAACCGCATCCTGAAATTGACCCTTGGCAAAGAGACAAGTTGTCAAAGTCCCAATCGCACGAAGTCGAAAAGCAAGAGCTTATAAGAAGATCGCCAAGGCCACAGCGGTGGTTCCTAGCCCGAGTTCCCGGGATTTTTATCGTCGCGGCTGAATGCTGTCAGTCATGTCATTCTTCGGCCTGGGTTACTCCGCTTGGTTAGCGCGGCAGACGGAGTTGCTGAGGGGCTTGGCTTTGCTGGGGTTCTCCCTCTTTCCCCGCAGTAACGTCACAGAGGACAGGATCCCCGCAGCTGAGACAATGCAAATACACTGGTTGCACGGACGGAATATTTATCGATCTACGTGTTAAATAAAGCTTATTCGTACGAGTTAGATAGAAAAGAGAAGCGCTGCGTGATTGGATCCTGCTGTTTGGTTTTGTAGCAATGAGGAAACAGTGCTTGATATTTAGCCGAGAATGGCGTTTGTTGCCTTCATAATCACGACACTAATAAATGGAGCTCTACCTCAACTGACGACAGTAGAGTTCTTATGCGCAAATTTCTTGGACCGCAAAAGATAGCTGTGGGTTGTAATTACTGCCGTTGCTGGCAGCCTGGCACTGCCGAGACTGCCGCTGCATGGCCCGCGGCTTGGTACCACTTCATCACCTGAGTATTTACCTCAGGTTACGTATACGACTCCGGGCACACATGAAGTAAAAACAACCCTAAAATTAAGCCTGGTTCTTGTCAATTTATTTCCTACTACCTAGATAGTAAGCGCTAAGTTTTTTAAGGTTCTACGGTACAACGGTGGTCTTATAAAGTATCGGCATCTTTATTCCCCTAGAAGCAGTAGTAAGCTTTGAGAGACATATCATTGGTGGTTGATACTATCGATTATGCTGTACCTGGTGCAACTATACCAGCGCTCCGGTAAGCTAGAGAATGTTTAATGATATCTTGCATATTCCCCACCACAGATTGACGAATAAGAACGGTTGTAATAGATCTTAATCAAATACGGGAAAACATTTCCTTCTTCTCGAAACTAATGCTCTAGCTATAAAGGTGGCCAGTATCAAAGCTCAATTGTCTTTTGTTTCAACCAGTTTGTTTGGCATTTCTTGTCTTTTCGCAATTCACCATGCTCGAATCTGCAATAGCCCCAAATTTGACAGTGCCTCGCAGCCAGCCAGCTGCAATGCCGCCAAATAGCACACCACCCTTTCCGGCATACTGCTCCAGGTTCCCGGAATCCACCAAAGACATCGTTATGGCCATCATTGGCGCTCAATCGCACGACCAAGAGGAACTCGGTATCGATACTCTTGACCCGGTTCGAAAATTTGTGGACGATGCCAACTGCTCGCCTCGGTTCTGGGACATCGCCAGCGGCCGTGATAGCCAGGACAGGCATAATGTGATCCTTATCGCATACTGGTCAAGCCGCGCCGACTACGAGCAATGGACACGAGAAAGTGGGTTTGAGAAGTGGTGGAGTGGCCTGGATCCGCAAGATCAACCTCATGGCTGGTTCCTTGAGGTCCTTTTTCCTCCAATGCAGAATCTCGAGACAATCTTCACCACTGTTGAGCCGCCCGAAGGCGTAGGGCAGATGCAAAAGTGTATATCTGCGCCCTTTCAAGAACACGGATATTGGGGCAGTATGAGAGACCGCATGCCCGCCGCGCAGACGGATCCACTTGTTGGGGAGAACCGGGAGATGGATGCGGCATTTACCCCTGAACGTTCATCTCAGGGCTTAGAAACGGGCGAAAGCAACGAACGGAAGCGTGTGAGGGTGCCAGGGAAAGAGAACCTCTGCGTCATCCGTTCAGGCCAAGATTGGTCCGTCGCGAGCCAGCGAGAACGTTCACTGTACCTCGAATCCATGCATCCTGTTCTCACCAAGGGAATGGATTTCCTAAGGAACGAAGGAAAGGACATTGGCTGCTACAACTGCCGTTTCATGGAGATCCGCGATACAAACAACGATGCCCTGTCTAAATCCGATCGCACCTTTGGACTTGCCTTCTTTAATGACATGGCGTCTCTGGAAAACTGGTCCAAGAAACACGAGACGCACCTTGATATCTTTGGAAGGTTCTTGAAGTATACGAAGGAACTGAACTTTGACATCTCGCTCAGGCTGTATCATGAGGTATATGTGTTGAAGCCGGATCAGCAATTGTTTGAATATGTTGGCTGCCACCCCGAAGCTGGTCTTTTAGCATTGATGTAAGGTTGTAAATTCCAGGAAAAGTTGCTTAGCACTCGGATCCTGCATTATACGGATTTGGAAATGGTATGGGAGTGTAAAATGGGCACGCAATGTGAATGTGGGCGGGAGGCTACAACGAAGCCCTACATACTCCAAAACATGGATTTGGAGAAGTGCTATGGGAGTATCCCGAAAATGTAATCTACCAAGAGTGGAGTAAACTAGTGGTTGACTACACAACTAAGAATCTCTCAATACCAACAGACCGTCTCCCCGCATTATCTAGATTGGCAACGTACTTTCAAAGATCTATCGCCGAGACAACCGACAAGCAATAAACGAACCGGCACAGCCAGCTTATCTACCCCCCCAACTTGCACCAGGCCCCAGGCCTTGGTTGTTACGTTACAACCGGAAAACATACCAGTCT